ACATTTGAGTTGTGCTGTGTTTGGTTTGGCTAACATCAGTATTGTGCGTGCTGCGTAGCTGTGAACATGAAAATAAATAACGTGCCTTATCGTCACATTTTGCTCTATTATTTTAAAAAAGGCAAACGAGCTGCGGATGTTCATGAAAAGATATGCCGTGTGTATGGAGATGATGCCTGAACAGAACGTATATGCCAAAAGTAGTATGCCAATTTCCGTTCGGGAGATTTCGACGTCAATGATGCGCCCCGCTCCGGTCGCCCGACCGAGATTAATTCAAATGACATTTAGGCTATAATCGAAGTAAATCCATCTCAATCGATACGAGAGATTGCTACGACATTGAATATATCCCACACAAGTGTAGAAAAGCATTTGCTCTAGCTAGGATACGTTTCTCGACTTAATGTTTGGGTGCCGCATCAATTAATCGAGGCTAACTTGACCACATGCATATCCATCTGCGATTCGCTACGGAAACGCCAAGAAAACGACCCGTTTTTTAAACGAATGGTGTTGGGTGACGAAAAATAAGTCGTCTACGATAATGTAACGCGTAAAAGATCATGGGAGCATAACAAACAAGGAGCCACCGCAAACAACTTCAAAGGCGGCATTGCATCCGAAGAAAATAATGCTCTCCGTATGGTGGGATTTCAAGGGTGTCATCTATTACGAACTGTTACCGTCAAGCAAAACGATTGATTCAACTGGACATTGTTCGCAATTGACAAAATTGAACTAAGTAATCCGCACAAAACGTCCAGAATTAGCAAATCGCAAGAGTGTCGTCTTCCACCATAACAACGCCACACTTCATACGTCATTGACCACTCGGAATAAATTGCTTCTGCTTGGCTGGGATGTTTTGCCTCATCCTCCGTATTTACCGGATCTTGCTCCTTCCGATTATCATTTATTCCGGTCGCTGCAGAACTGTATGAACGGGAAAACTTTCAAAGATGAAGAGGCCGTTAGAAACCATCTGGATTGGTTTTTCGCCGATAAGTCCCAGACGTTTTACGAACGCGGCATAATGAAGTTGGTGGAAAGACAGCTAGAGGTCATCGATAAAGATGGCCAATATATAATTGATTAAAATTTATCTTGTGTATCAAAAAATTATGTTTTATTCTACTCTAAAAAGCCGAACGAACTTATTTGCCAATCCAATACTACAGATACTATATACGTTCTACTACCAATTTGCTATCAGAGTCTGTCAGCAAATTCTACCGGCAGACAGAATAATAACAGATTTGGAATATATCTGTCTGTCGACAGATTTTGCTCGAATTTGCTGTTAATTTGTTGTCAAATTGCTAATAGATTGTTTACTTTTTTTTTCTTTTTTTGGTGAAGCAGGGAAAATCCATCATGGATACCCCCTCCCCTTTGGGAGGGAGGGGGTTATGTCGGACTCTTACCGACTAAAACCCCTGCGGGATGTCTACCTGTCGGGCCGTGAGGAGGGGAGTCAGGGGAACTACTTCCGTATTCCCACCCCAACCCCCCAGCCCCAGGGCTCTCCAGGAGCCCCACGCCATCACCGTACCGCGCCCTGTCCCACTAAGGGAGTCCAGGGCGCGGTCCCGGTGTGTTGCCCCACCGGTTAGCCTTCTGGTCACACCTATTAGGAGGAAGGGGACACCCACCCCTCCTCCTTTGCTCTCCTCCCCTTGTTAGTCAAGGGGGGAAAGCTTTGGGGCAGCGGGCCCATCCCAAACCGGGACACCGCCCCCCCTTTGCCCTACTTATCCGACCGCGCGGCGGGATCTAGATAGCCCAGTCCCCCCCGCGCGGACGGTGGCGGGCCCGAGGCGGCCGAGGAGTCCCCGATCCGTCGCTATCGACAGGTGAGTCCTCCTCGGCCGACGCCACCTCGGGTCCGCTTCCGATTCCTCTTCTCGGGGATCGTCGACCGGTGCGCCGCCTCTTGCGACGCACTCCGCGGCCTCCTTTTGCGAGATAACTTCCCGACAGAAGGAGGCCGCTGCGTCCCACACTTCCTCGCTCCCGCACATGGCCTTGACCATGCGCGGGAGAGAGAGGTCCCCCCTTCGGCACTCCACCGCCCCCTCGAGGACACGGCGCTCCTCGTCCCATGCCGAGCATGTGGACAAGGTATGATACGCCGTGTCCTCGAGAATGGGGCAGTGGTGGCACCGGGTGGTGGGCTCCTTCCTTATCTGGTGCAGATACCGACCGAAGCATCCGTGCCCGGTCAGCATCTGCACCAGGTGGAATGACATTCCACGTCCCCTCCTGCCCGTCACCTCGGACAGGCAGGGGCGGACAGCCGCTGCCATCTTGGGACCGGATACCTTCGGGTCGGACAAGGCGTCCTCCCACCTCCGAAGGGTCCGGTTCCTGGCCTGGAGCTTCAGGCACCTTAGATCCCTGGCCCTTAGCGTCCCCTCCGCACGGAGCTCCCTCACCCGCCAATAGAGAGTACTTCTCTCATCGGCAAGGAGCTCCACGGGAGGGACGCCGGCCAGGGTGGTCGCCGCCATGTACGACACGGTCCGATACTCCCGAATCGCCCTTATCGTAAAGGGCGATCGAGAGCACGGCCGTGACGTACAGGCGGCGTGCCATCCAGTCCGGGCCCCCCTGAGGCTGGCGACCGCCAGACCTGCTTTGCGCACCCGGGGGGCCAGGTTCCCGAAATGGGGCCCGAAGATCCAACGACTGTCCAACGTCAGGCCGAGATATTTAATCGTCGGCCCGACGCGGACGTGGACGCCATCCACAAGGACTTCGGTTTCCGGAGGCGCCCCTCGACCTCGGCCGTAGAAATATACGACCTCGGTCTTCTGGGGCACCACCGAGAGTCCGAGGTCCTTAATGGTGCCCACCACCGATGCCAGTGCCGCCTCTGCGCGGAGGCGGGCTTCCCCCTAGTTCTCCCCCCCGGCCACCACTAAAGTGTCATCTGCGTAACAAATGACATGGCAGCCCGGGGGGAGCGGAGTTCTCAGCATCCGGTCGAACGCGATGTTCCATAGCAGGGGGCCCAGAACGGACCCCTGCGGAACACCGCGCTCCGTGCGCCGGCCCTGGACCACCCGGCCCCACTCTCCATCGGGAAGGCGAGGTCCCTGCCCCCGAAATAGGCCGAGAGGATGCGCCGGAGATAGGCGGGCACGCCATGATGCACGAGCGCCCGCCTGATCTCCGGCCACGGCAGGGTGTTGAAGGCATTCCTGATATCCAGGGATACCGCCAACAACACCCCGCCGTCCCTCTCCACGACCGCCCGGGTCAGGCCCCGGAGACACTGAACAGCGTCCAGCGTTGATCTCCCGGGCCTGAACCCAAACTGGCGGCCGTGGAGGTTCGGCCCCTCCGAGGACAGATGCTGGACGAGGCGGTCGGCAATGATGCGTTCTAGCAACTTACCCGCCTCGTCCAGCAGGCATATCGGCCTATAGGCCGACGCACTATCGGGTGCTTTGCCCTCCTTGGGGAGGAGGACCAGCTTGGCCCTCCTCCACTCTGGGGGGAATACCCTCTCCCTCAGACACCCGCTGAAAACCCTGCGTGTGGCTTTGGACAGGTTTCCCTCGCCGAGGGCGAGGGCTCAGGCCCGGCCAGGAATTCCGTCGGGGCCAGGGGCTTTGCCCTTGGCCCCGAGCCTCTTCCTGGCCTCTGCGAGCTCCTCTGGACTGACCTCCAGGTCCTCGTCCCAGTCCCCCTCCCCCATTTCTGGGGAAGGGATCACTGGTGGGCCCCCTTCCGCCCTCAGAAAGAGGGCGTCCAGGAGCCCATCGAGGGCCTGGTGGTCCATTTGTTCGGTCGGCGGGGGCGCCCAAGAGCGGACCTTCGCGGTCACCCTTTTGTAAGGGCGCCCCCACGGATCCTCGTCCAGGGAGCTCACAAGTTGCTCCCAGGACGCTCGCTTCGCCTCGGCGATGGTGACTTTCAGGGTCTTCCTCACTCGGAAGTATTCCCTTTTTGTCTCTGTGATATCCCCTCCATTCCGCCGGGCACGCACAAACAGCCGCCTGGCTGTGATGGCGGTGCGTCGGAGCCGTCCTAGCTCCTCACTCCACCAATATGCTGCCCGGCGGGATCGGGGGCGGGACTGGGGCATCGCAACGTCGCAACACGACGTCACGATGCCCACTATTTCCTCGGCCCCCTTGCAGGGGTCGGGGTCCCGCCCCCCTGGCACTTCCTCCAGGTGCCAGGATGCCACGAGGGCAGCCGCCCGAAACCTGTCCGCGTCCAGTCGGTTGAGAGCCCATCTCTTGGAGAGAGGGTGTTCCCTCTCCCCAGGGCGGCGGATGAGCACCTGCTGGGGTCTGGGGAGGCGGAGGGTCCACACTATATGTCTGTGGTCAGACAGTGTCTCACCCTCCGCCTCCACTTTCCACTCGTGGAAGAGCCCCGCGGCCGAGGGGGTCGCCCAGGTCAAATCAATGACCGAGCCTCCGTCCCCCCCGGCCGCACGCAGGTGCTTTCTGAACCCTCATTCATAAGAATAAGGCCCAGTCCCGCCGATCACGGTGTCCTCCCGGCGGTCCCGCTGCCAGGGACTGCAACCCCACCCTTCCGAGTGGGCGTTGAAGTCCTCGGCAACTATGACTAGTCGGGGATGGCACCTCCATACCAGCTCCCCGACTCTGTCCAGGACCGCCTTGATCGGGGCAGGACGACCGAGACCGGCCTTGTTCCTGTGGTGGGGAAGGTATATCCCCACCATAGTGATGGGCCCCCAATCGACCGCCACATGCGAGGGCCCCGATTCCCTGAATTTACAGAGCGGGGCCCCCGTCGCAGGGTCTGCCACCATGGCCACCGAGCCGTCCGGACCCCTGAACCAGTTCGCGCTGCGAACCGGGATCCAGAGCGGCTCGGTGACCACCGCCAGCCCGGCACCCAGTTCTTTCAACCTCTGCATGCAGAGGTCTTGAGCCCGGGCGCCGTGGCCGACGTTGGCCTGTAGGACCCGGAATGGCGCGAAGGCCATGCCTTTCACGCCTCCTCCGGGCTACCTACTTCGGCCCCCCCTGGCCATCCTTTGACGGCAGAGCCGTCTCGGATAGCCCGGGGGAGGCTTCGGCCTCGTCTACGGATGCCTCCGCGGAGTGGTGGGGGGTCCCTACCTGTGCGGATTCCTCCTCTCGGGAGTACGAGGAGGAATCGTCAACCTGGGGAGATGGGGGTGGCGCTCCCTCCATCTCCCCATCCTCTAGGGTTGTTGGGGGTGGACCCATGGGTTCCACCCTCTTTACCTTTGAATCCTCCTGTTCCTTTTCCTCCGTCGAGGTGTCCGGGTCTTCCCTACCCTTCCTCTTCCTTCTTAGAGGTACCGGTGGTTTCTCCTGCCAGCCTTCTGCGCCTTTCGCCGTCTCCGGTTCCCAGTCGCACTGGCTGGATGGATGGTCCTCCCGGTCTTCTGTTGGGGTGAGGGCTGGTTTCCCTGCACCTTCCCCCTCTAGATCCTTCCTTGGGGGAGGGGACTCACTCCCCTCTCCTGGCTGCTCTGGTGTCGGCTGGGTTGGCACTCCGGCGACGTTTCGGGCACTCGTCACCCTCGTGTCTCCCGCTCCCATCAGACCTCCTGTCTTCTTCCCCTTCTTCTTCTTCTTCCTTTGCCCGCAAGGGAGCCACAGGCAGGCCCTCCGATCTTATGACCGGAGGGCCTGCCCGCCTCTGCACAGATGGGGCAGTTCGCCGCCCGCAGGCACCCTTTGGCGCGGTGGCCGGGGCTACCGCAGCGATAGCATAAATCGCTGCGGTCGACGGCGCTGGTGCACCGCTCGCGCACGTGTCCCGGTAGAAGACACCGGAAACACAGCACCGCGCGAGCGGGCAGCGCCGTCACCCCGGCACGGGTCCAACCCACGTGGATCCGTTCCGCGGCGGCGACCTTCGCGGCCACCGCCAGCGGACACCGCACCACCATGGTGCCCGTACCCCGCTGGGTGACACTCATTACACTTGGGTCTACCTCCTCAGGTGAGCATCCCCCAGCGCGGGCAACGGCGGCCGTCACTTCCTCGGCCCCGGTTGTCGCGTCCAGGCCAGCCAGTCGCAGCGGCTTTTACCGGCCTTTGGACGCGAAAACCGAGGCCCCTTTCCCCGCCGCCAGCTTGCGGAGCTCGTCCGCAAGCCGGTCGGCGGATGCCCCGACGTTGAGGCCAGGCACCTCAACCAACATTGCCCCGCTCAGGGCCCGGCGGACCTTCAGGGATCCACCGATCCCCAGGTCCGCCGGGATGATGCGGCGCCTGGCCTCCAACATAAAGCTGGCGTATTCGCCCTCGGGGCAGATTATCGTGACGGCCGCCGAGCGTGGCGGCTTAAGCCTGCCCCCTCCTGCTACAGCTGGTTCCTTCCCTTTAGGTCTTACCTTGGGGGTAAGGGTCGGAAGTCCAGTTGGGTCCCTCGTTCTTGCCTCTTCCTTCCTCCTCTTTCCCTCCTTTCGTCCCACCACCTGGGACCAGGTCTCCTGTGGTTCCTGGTTCCGGGTAACCTGTGGTACCTGGTTCTGGCTAATCGAGTACCACAGTCCCTTCTCCACCGGGTAGCCTCCTGCCAGCAGTATGTCCTTGACGGACATGCCCTTTCCTCCTTCCAGGGCTCTCTTTCTCTCCTCCTCCTTCATTAGTTTGTCCCTGGCCTTTTTCCTCTTTTTATTCGCCTTCTTCCTTTCCTTCTTCCCTTGACCCTTCTCCCTTCGTCCATTGGGTCCCTCCGGGATTATGTTCACCTTCCTATTTGGCGCCTTCTTCATCCTTTCCGGCGCTGAGGAAGGGGTGTACGCTGGGACCCCCACCGACACCGCTGGCCCACCCCCCCGGCCAACAGCCTCGAGGCGGCTGACCGCCCTGAGCCGCTCGACCTCCGCCCCGCAGCCACAGCCGGAGAGCCGTGCCTTCAGGTCGGTGTCCAGCTCCTCTTCAGCGCCTTCCATCTTCTCCTTCGGGGGGAACGGATGGATCATATCCTCCAAATTGTCATCTAAGGAGGGGATGTCCTGGTCCTCTTCCACCATCCTGGCGGAGATGGAGGTTGAGGACGAGACAATCCTCCTCCTCTTCCTTTCCCTCTCCTTTCTCTTCATCTTCTTTTTCTTCTTTCCCTCCCTATTCTTTTCCTCCTCCTCACTGGATCCGGCCGAGGATGATCCTCTTACCACTTCTGAATAGGTGGGTTTCCTACCTGATGGACCTGGTGGAGAAGAAGCGGCAGCTGTCGGAGGAGCCATAGAGATCGACGAGGAGACTTGTCTCTTCGTCGATCTCAGCTCCTCCTCCAGCCGCCTATTCTCCACCCTCAACCTCTTTAGCTCCTCCCTGAGCTCCTCCGCCTCTTTTTCGGCCAGGGTGCCTTCCCTTTCCCTACTGGCCACCCTGGCCATTAAAGTGGCGAGCACGGCCTCGGAGACGTCCACGACACGATTCAGCGCCCCCACAAAGGTCCCTTTCAAGGTATTGGACCTTCTGGAGTCTAGCCGAATCACGCCGAGGGCACGACCTGCCTCCGAGGCCAGCTCGCACACTTTTGCCTCCCTCAGAAGTTCTTTGGCTGTCCCGTCCCTAAAGACTTCTTCCATCGGTCTCTTGTCAGCGAAGGACCGGAAGATTCCTCCATCCAAGATGGTCTGGATCTCTTTTTCCAGTCTAGTCCTCTCTGCTTCCTTCCTCTTCTTTTCCTCCGCTTCCTTTCTCTCTCTTATCCCCACGCCGAGACCAGTGGTGGGGGCCCTGCCGCCTCCCCTCTTCGTCTGCTCAAGCGCTGGGCCGGCGGTGCCGGGACACGAGCCGCTACTGCTGCTCCCTCTGGAGCTTAGCGGTTCTCTTCCTTATCCGGGCCTTTTCCTTATCCGAGATATGGGGACCCTTGAGCTCCGCGATAGCAGGACATCAAAGACGACCACCGGTTTCCCGGTGGTCCCCTCCGACGCCCCTTCAGCTCTCGCAGACCCCAAGGCCCCCGTCTCCCGGGTTCTTTTGTGCTGTCCCCTCTTAGAGCAGAGGGGACCAGGCTTATCTGCCGCCGGTGTTAGGCTCGGACCTATGGACCCAGCCCCGCTAGAGGTCCCTCGTTGGGTGGCCGCTCGCTTGGACCTGACCGGCGAGCTCACCTCGCCACCTCCGCGGTCGGAGGGGCGATCTCCTGAGGGCGGTGGTCTTCCCTCTTTATCTGGCTGCACCCCAGCGGCTAATCCACTGGGGCCAGCCTGCACTTTCTTCCCAGGAGGCGGGGAGGTGGCACCTGCCTGCAGATCTCCTGCCACCTCTAAACCCCCTTTTCCCTCTACATAAAAATCACTCTCGCAAGAGAGTGGTGAGTCCTCGGACGGGTTGGTGCACCCGTCCATACGGGACCTTGAGTCCGAAGACTCGGAGTTTTTTGTTTTTATTTTGGAAATCTTCATTTGAGTCCCACGAATGCGGCAGGAAGTGGGCGTCGACCCCGGGCAGAGCCCCCGCATTGCCCGGGGTAAGGCTACCATGTCTCCTGGGTTCGCCCGGTGCCCAGGGTGAGGAACCACTAGCGACAGGTCACGCACCTGCCATTCATCCCATAAGCGTGGCATGCCTCAACCGTAGGATTACGTGGTATTTTATAGAGGACCCGCCTCGCGGTCCGGCCGATTAAGGCAAGACCCCCGGCCCCAGAGACATAACCTAGGGTTACGGTATAGTAGGCTAGGGTCTGCCGGGGATGCTTGAGCCCCCTGTACCAGGATGCCGAAGCACCCTGGCCCCTCGCAATCGTGTCAGGTTATACGTCCTGACAAGTACGGGTTTGCAGTCAGGGTTTTCCTTCCCCTAGAACGGTTGCCTTCACCCGGCTTACGAGCCCGTTCTGCCCGCGCTGTAAGGTCCTTTGGGTCGCACTGTTACAAATACCAGTGCGACCCTCCGGTCCCTGTATGAAACTCGGAGGCAGCTGCCCCTCCGAGAGTGAATAAGGACGCTCTTAATCTGGCCTTTCAGTGCGGATCTCTCCGGCATGGTAGAACCTGCCAGGGGCCGAAGCTCCCGCCGGCACAGCTTCGCACATCATCAAGGCACACAAGCTCCCCACATCGCCACATCAAGGTGGCGCCCACGGGGGGGAATAGATTGTTTACTTTGTTTTTCTTTTTTTTTTGGTCACGCAGGGGAAATCCATCATGGATACCCCCTCCCCTTGGGGGGGAAGGGGGTTATGTCGGACTCTTACCGACTGAAGCCCCTACGGGATGTCTACCTGTCGGACCGTGAGGAGGGGAGTCGGGGGAACTACTCCCGTATTCCCTCCCAAACCCCCCGGCCCAAGGGCTCCCTTCCGGGAGCCCCTCGCCATCTGTGTACCGCGCCCTGTTCCACGAAGGGAATCCAGGGCGCGGTCCCCGACGAAGGTTACCCCCCCGCCGGTTGGCCTTCTGGTGTCTCCTGTCAAGGAGGGAGAGGACATCCGCCCTCCCTCCTTACCCCCCCTCCCTGCTAGTCAGGGAGGGGAGGATTTGTAGGGGAGCGGGCCCGGCCCCAACCGTGGCACCGCTCCCCCCTGTCCCTACTTGTCCGGTCGCTCGGGGGGGAAGGTAGCGAAGTCGTCTCGCCGCCCCCCTACTCCCCCCCTTGCGACCGGTGGCGGGCCCGGGGCGGCCGAGGGGACTCCCTACCCTCGCGGGTCTGTGAGCCTCCCTCGGCCGGCGCTGCCCCGGGACCCCGGGGGTCGGACAATAAGTCCTCCCACCTCTCCCGGGTCCGGGCCTCGGCTTGGAGCTTCAGACCCCTTAGGGCCCTGGCCGACATTCTTCCCTCCCTGTGAAGCTCCTTTACCCTCCAGTAAAGGAGATGCCGCTCCTCGGCTAGGAGCTCCACAGGGCGGACGCCGGCCATGGTGATCGCCGCCATGTACGACACGGTCCGGTACCCCCGAATCGCCCTGATGAGCACGAGCCTCAGGGCCTGCCGCAGTGCGCACTTGCCTCTGCGGCAGGCCCCCAGCTGTGGCGCCCAGATGGGCGCCCCGTACATGGCGATCGAGAGTACCGCCGTGACGTACAGGCGGCGAGCTCTCCATCCTGGGCCCCCTTGGGTGCGCGTCAGGCTGGCCACCGCCAGTCCTGCCTTGTGCACCCTGGGGGCCAGTTCCCCAAAGTGGGGTCCGAAGCTCCACCGGCTGTCCAGCGTCAGGCCGAGATATCTCATCGTCGGCCCGACGCGGACGTGGACTCCATCTACGAGTACCCGGGTCCCTGGCGGCACCCTCCGACCCCGGCCGTGAAAGAACACGGCCTGGGTCTTTTGGGGCGCCACCTTGAGACCCAGGTCTCTGATGGTACTCACAACTGACACCAATGCCGTCTCCGCGCGGAGGAGGGCTTCCCCCCAGCTCTCCCCCCCGGCTACCACTAACGTGTCGTCTGCGCAGCAGACGACGTGGCAACCGAGGTGAAGCGGAGTGCGCAGCACCCGGTTGAACGCGATGTTCCATAGCAGGGGGCCGAGAACCGACCCCTGCGGAACACCGCGCTCCATAGCGCGCCGGCCTTGGACCCCGCCCTCCACTGGGAAGGCGAGATCCCTGCCCCCGAAGTAGGCCGATAGGA